ATGTGGTCAAATCGCGCTCAGCCGGTAGCAGTTGCGTGGCAGGTGTGATTCTGGGGTGCGGTAGCAGTTGTGTGGCAGGTGTGGCTCTGGGATGTTGTCAAATTGCGCTCTGCCGGTGGCACTTGCGTGGCAGGTGTGGTCCTGGGTTGTTGTGCCGGTCGTAGTTGCATCTTCGGAATGGACCTTGATGTCCGCAAATCGCGCTCTGCCGGTAGCAGTTGTGTGGCAGGTGTAGCTCTGGGCTGTTATCAAATCGCGCTCTGCCGGTAGCAGTTGCGTAGCAGGCGTGGCCCTGGACTGTTATCAAATCGCGCTCTGCCGGTAGCAGTTGGGTGGCATCATCATCATCATCATCGTCATCATCATCATCATTATCATCATCACCATCCTCATCATCGTCGTCATCATCATCATCATCATTGTCATCATCATCATCATCATCATCATCATCATCTGTACAGATGATGATTTTGGAGACACGTTTTTTTCAACAGCGTGATGGCCGTCACTAGATGACGATGGGATAAGTGCGTGTTGAAAGAAAAACATGCTTTCACCTGCAGATAATTTTCATGGCTTGTACACCTGGTGTCTTTCGGTGCATTTGGGATCTTGTCTTCTCTAGTCGCCTCCGAGGTCGTTGCCTGCGCTCGTTCACGGGAGCTCAAAGCTACGTAGAGTCAACCGTATGAGTCAACCATATGAATCGGTATGACCAGTATGCATCTTCCTGCTCAGGACACCTGGACCAGTTCGTCTCCGACGACCGAGTCTCTGACGAGATACACACAAACGGATACGCGCAGATACACACTGATGAACAGACATACACACAAACACACACCTTACAAACACCTACATGCACACAAGCGTCATACAGCATACATCCACCCACACACTCATACACACTCACGGACAAGCGCGTACAATCAAACACACACCTCACCTACACACACCGACCCTTACGCATTCTATTTGTCTCGCCTGTCTCTTCCCCATGCTCACTCTTCAGCGCCTTATGTCTGCAGCTTCAATCTTTCGAAGTTGTTCCCATGTGAGGTTATCCGGTCCTATAATTTTGGAGGACGGTTCGTGACACCAATGCTGAGGCATATAGTTCCTGCCATCCTCCTAGTCATCCTTTCAGAGAAGTGTGGTTGGATGTATTGGTGCTAGTATGGTAGTTGGTTGGCAGCGACAAGTTGCTATCAGAAAAGGACCCCGTGTAGATAGCAACTTCTCTGTTTTTATGTCTCTGTGTTTTCTGACTCTATGTCTCTATGGTTCTGTGTCTCTATGTCTCTGGGAAGAGAGGTGTAGCCGCGACTTATGGTTATGTTTTGGGCGGATCAGTGGCATAAGCGCAAGTAAAGTTCCCAACAGCGCGAAGCGCCGCCGAGAAAGTCTCTTCGCTGTCCAAGCCCTCCTCTGAAGCCTTGTCTGCTTTGGAACCTGCTCCGGAACCTTCTCCAGAACCTCCTCATGGACCTGCCCCGCGACCTTCTCCCGAACCTTCTCTGGAACCTGCCCCGGAATCTTCTCCGGAACCTGCTCCGCAAGCGCGGAACCTTGTCCGGAACCTGCTCCGAAGCTCGCTCTGAGTCTGCTCCGCTTCGCTGTTGGGGAATGATGAATGGAACTGCTTGGATGTATTGGGGCCAGTATGGTAGTTGGTTGGCAGCGACGAGTGCCTATCAGAAAAGGGGCCCGTGTAGATAGCAACTTGGTGGGGTGAAGAGATTGCTGTTTGAGGATGGGTTATCGTCGCGGATCTATGCAATATTTTTGGATGACGGTTGGTGACACCAATGCTGAGGCATATAGTTCCTGCCGTCCGCCATCCTCCTAGTCCTAGTCATCCTTTCAGAGAAGTCTGCTTGGATGTCTTGGGGCAAGTATGCTAGTTGGTTGGCAGCGACAAGTTGCTCTCAGAAACGGAGCCCGTGTAGATAGCAACTTCTCTGTGTTTTATTCTCTGTGTTTTCTGACTCTATGTCTCTATGTCTCTATGGTTCTGTGTCTCTATGTCTCTGGGACGATGGGACGAGAGGTGTAGCCGCGACTTATGGTTGTATGTTGGGCGGATCAGTGGCATAAGCCCAAGTAAAGTCCCCAACATCACTGACGTTTCTTTTTCCCGGATTCTCAAATAGACCACCAAACAGGGACGCTCCAGAGAGCACCGCGCCAGGAAAATCGAGAAAACCTAAAACATTCAACACTTCATGCTCTGCTCCGATCTTGATCTACTCCACGTTGATACAAGCTCCACGAAAGCTTCCGGCATTCAACAATAAGTGCTCCGCTATTTTTCTTCCCAGTCTTGCATTGCTATATTGGTCTCTCGCTGGCTTTCGTCCTCTCCTTTCTCAATCAAATCGTTTTGAAGATCACCATTCGCATGCTCCCAACGGGACTTGTTCTAAAAACATCAAGTTAGACAAGAAGTGAACAATGAATTGTATTTCAGCATGAAGCTGCGCTCCTGTTGCGCAAGACGAGTCTTTGCCACCTTTCGGGCTGCAGAGTTTGTGTTCGGCTCCCTGACACAGATTTATCACTGAGCCTGGTGAAGGCATCGAAACACCATAGCAAAGAACATGCACTGCTGGCACGTGAGGCAGGGGTTCTCGGCAGGAACATGAGAAGACTAAGGTTGCTAGGGAGAAAATAACAGGTTTAACTCGTGCTAAGGGTCAAGAACGTTTTGTGTTTTTTACACCTAAGAAGATAGTTCCTATTGGTTACTTTTGTGATGCATCATATATATATATATATGTATCAAAACAATAGAACAGCCCGAGAAAGAGGAGCGGAAGCTGCCTAGGGAAGAGCCATTGAAAGAGGGGCGAGGCTAAGTTGCAACCTCCCGGAAGCAAAGGTTAAGCCGGGGTCGGCCGATATAGCGACGATGTTTTCCGCGTGAGGAGTTGCAAAGTGGTAATTAGTCTAGAGTTTGAAACGCGAGCAGCAGCCGGTCCATGGAAGCCAAACAGAAAACCATATTGATTGTGGACAACATTTACTCCATTTTCAAGTCACGCCCACTGTCTGAACTTTTTGGGTGTGCAGGAATTGAAGATGGCTGCCCGGGAGCAGGATGTGAAGGACTGTAAGGGTGGAATGTCTTGGTACAGTTCTAGCATGTTCTAGCCAAGAATGGTTCGAAGATCATGTCTTATGGAGTGGCGCTGATGCACCAAACCTGAGAAGCGTGGCTAAGAAGAGGATTTGTGCTTCTCAAAAAGAGCGCCAGGAGCCCCTAGTAGCGTCCTTGCTCCTAGTAGCGATGCCAGGAGCCCCTAGTAGCGTCCTTGCTCTTAGTAGC